GGGCAAGAAGTTTCAAGACAAGAGCAATTTTTGGTCACATTTTCTACCAGTTGCACAGCTGGATATATATGTGTTGCAACGTGATGGAATCAGGCGCTGGTCAATTTTTAGGCATATGAGGTTATTGGTATCATCTTAAAGCCTGTTCATTTGCCTTGCTTTTGAAGAAAAAAAAAATCCATCATCTATATTCAATAGAAGTTGAAACATTTGCAATTGAAGGAGGTCAGGGTCGCTTGGTTTCAGAGGTGAAATCAGCGAGAAAATGGCCGCCAAATTTTGGTAACTCCAACAGTTTAAGAGTCTTTGAACTGAAAAAAGACATATTTTGTGCCTTTTATCAATGTTTTTCAGTAAAATTCAGATGGAAAAGTGTTTTTATATGGACATAAAAGAGGTTAAGCCAAAAAGTTAAAATTCTATTAAAAATTTTCAATTTGGCGGGAAAATGCCTGTTTCTCTGATTTCGTTATTTTGACGAGCGACTGATTCCACCACGATGCCTCACATATCATGGCCACAGAAAGTGGAAGCTTAGGGTATTGTTGCTAGATCTAGCCAAATCGAAGACAGTCAGGGGTGGTCACTTGGAAAACCACGTGGCTGGGCTGTCGTTTCTATGACTATCACCAACAGTTTCCTCTTACGCTTTCTGTTCCCGACATTTTATGGTGCATATCATTATATTGAGTCTGTATTTCTTACCCCCCCACACACACACCCATTCAACACTTTTGTATTCTTAACAGCAACTGGGAATCCTTCACAAAACCGTAACGTGTCGTCACATTATCTGCCCAAAGTGACCCCACCCCAAAGGTAGGTCACTAAAATATCAAGGCAACGAGATGATTGCGTCCCTTCCTCCCTTTGCAAAGGTTCATTCATGTAAATGCACGCTCCGTATTAACAAAAGCTAAGGAGCCCTCCTGAGCACAGCGCGTTTCGGTGGAGACTACTGTATTATTTTGCTGTTAAAATTTCAGATCATAACTCTTCGGCACTTGAAGCATAGACAATGAACACGTGATGATACAACTATCACACCATGCTTCACAGGTCATTTCCTTGTTGACTGATGTTTGCGACTCGGCTTGTTAAAACAATCCTTTCTCCTTCTTCCCTAATACTTATATGGATAATATGACAATTAAATAAATTAAAAAAAACAACAACCCACAAACTAAACAAACTTAACAGAAAATCTGAAGAAAAAAAGATAAACTTGGCAAGCTACTTGCTAACTAAAAATGAAAAAAGAAAATCTCTCATATATAGTCGAACCTGTGTAAGACGGACACCCATTGTCAAGGAGAAAAGTGGCCGTATAAGACAGGTGGCCGTCTTAGGCAGGACTCATCAAGATGAAGAAAACAAACTATTCCTTTCTGAGGTCCCAACCGAAGGTAGCCGCATTGTTGTTGTTGTTGTTGTTTTCCCTGGGGGGTTCTTTTTTTTTCTTTTGTTGCTGCTTTTGTGTAAGGGTGACAATAAAACGAAATGTGTCAGGCAAGGAGGACAGAGTGCTAGTGCAGGGCGGTACCGGTGAAACCCAGTGTCGATACTCTCTCGCCGAGAACTGCCAGTACTGGGAGCGACACCAGGAGGTGACGTCACAGACTTTGCATCTTGTGTCTAACGCCACGATCAGAACTGTCCGCACCCCCCCAACACACACAAACACATGTCAGAATTGGAGAGGCGAACTGTGACGCAAACAACCTTTGAAGTTTGCTGCCACCTGGGATAAAATTTTGCATGCAGAATTTTTAAAATAATTGTCGTCGCTAAAAATAGATTTCATTTTCGGAATCAGCGTATCAAAATAAGCAAAGTGGCTCGTGCAAAACTTGATTTGATGCCATAATTAAATTTAAGCTTACTTTGTTTTTGATTGTCAATTTTGAATCTCAAGTCATGTATCAAGTTCACCCGCTGCGTTGTGCATCTGACGTCAAAGCTGCTAGGCCTACACAGTACACACTTCCCGTGGTCTGGTTAAAAAAACCGTTGCTGTCGGCTCCCTCCCACAGCCGGTACTGGAGGCCTGCTGCCGGTACTCACACATCCTGCGGTAGAACCGGGTGTTCCGGTACTGGGTACCGGTACCTGCCCATCTCTACTGAGTGCTACGGTAAAACAAACACATGGGTCGCCACCACTAGGAGAACGAGCGACGCTTCTGTCACAAGTTCATGTTGACATCCATTGTTACTTTGTTACATACTGGGCAAACAGTGCCCACTCATCTCACTTATGATTTGAGTATGAGTTCTGGGTGGGACTTATGGTTATGAGGGATCACACGCTTGTAACCTCACCAGCTGAAAATTTGTTTCCTATTGGTCAACAGTGGGAGGGACCTAAGAAACATGATCGGTTGGAGGGCTACCTAACAACAACGACAGGTGATTGGATTTTGACGGCTTGCCCACGACGCCAGGGGCCAATGCACAATTTGTGACAAAACGTAATGGAGTCACTAAGGTGTCCATCTAAGACAGGTGTTATTGTTTAGTGTGATAGTTGTGCGTTAAAATATGGTGGCCACGGCCGCGTTGGATAGGAGCCCGTTTTACAGTTAAATTACATTTTTAAAAAGCAAGGGGGGGAATGGAAAGTGGCCGTGTGTACAGGTGGCCGTCTTATCGAGGTGGCCATCAGGGCAGGTTCGACTGTATATATATTGTATTAAATATCTGAATCAACCCCAATCTTCCCTCCCTGTAAAACGGGAGGAAGGCAGGGCCTAAAGTAGAGGGATTACGATATATCACTCACTTCATCTGCGGACAGCATCTTGTCGCCATCAACATCGATCTCTTTGAAGACATTGGGGGGTGGAACTCCATCTTTGATTTCAAGAAGTTCAACTTCAAAACTCAGACCAGCATTTGGGGGAATCACATCACCTATAAATTTGATAGAAATGTATTGCTCCTTTAAAAGAAAAAATTTAATAACAACACAAAGAATATTTTATACATTTCTAAGGATTTAGATTTTTTTAAACTGCAAAATAAAACAACGGCAACTGGTCATTTTGTTACACCTAAATGAAGTGTGACTACATGACTTTCTTATCTCTCCAAAATTGTGATACGCTAGTAGAGTTTTGGAGAGTCGGCGCCAGCAGTCTCTATTCGAAACCACCAATTCAAGCATGTAATCATTGGGCCATGTCCTCTTGTTTTTAAGTAATATAAGCCTTTAAGCTTTTTTGAAGTTATATAATAACTAATATAAATTATAATAAATTAAATTTTCGTCTGAACTGTTCCATAGTTGAACAGTAATTTAAATAAGGTAAAAACAATGTCAGGTAAAGAGTAAGTAAGGCTTTATTCAAAAGTAAGGGTCTAGCTTTTACTTTTAGCAAAATTGCAGTACATTTAACAAATTTATTTTTAACAGAACTAATATGATCTTGCCAATCAAACCTCTCATCAACAATAATGCCTAAAAATTTTGATCTGACTCGAGACTTCAAATTGTCGATACATTTTATGAATGGTGTAGCTGATCAGGTAGGCACGACGACTCGCACCTCCCCCCCCCACAAATCGTGATTTGCGATAGCCATGACAAAGGACATTTGATGTTTGAAATTGTATGACGAAATGAACGTCTCCATTCAACCTTGTAAATTTGGGGTGTGACAAGATGACTGTGACATCTTGACTGCACCAGTGTGATGAAATGACGGGTACCTAACAAAACATGTGCCCCGCATACTATTGCAAAGACATCACTAAAATAGGTTTTTAACCTTTTTCTATCAATTCTATTAACTATCATAATATATCAAAAGACTAGCTTTGGTTGTTGCTCAAGAAATTCCTCTTTTACTTTAATCCCATGTATACAATGATTTCGGTCCCACACCAAACCCATGGAGGAAATCGTCATTTTGCTTGAGACAAGCAATTTTTATTCACACAACTGTATTTCAAGCATACATATTAAATCCAATCCATTGTAACATACCTGGAAGCAAAAACTAATGAAACACTGCGCCAATTTCATTTTTCTGTTCTTGGCAAGGTACCAGACTTCAGCCCATACTCGGTCAAGTCAACTTCAATGAACTGTGTTCGTTAAACTTTAACAAGGAGAGACTGCCTTACTTTATATATATACATCTCGAGAAAATAAACTGCATTTGTTTAGGTTGTGCAGGAAGTTGGCCATAAAACAAGCTCTGGGCTTCAATTTCACCACATTAATTTAATTAAAATAACCATTCATAAATTATAATAAATATAAAAGTAGCTTTCAACAACTTTACCTGCACCCTGTTCTCCATAACCTTTACTAGCAGGGATCACCAGCTTTCTCTTCTCTCCGACACACATGTCCACAAGACCTTCGTCCCATCCTTTAATCACTTGACCAGTGCCCAGTTGAAACTCAAATGGCTGGCTCCTGTCATGGCTGTAATATAACAAAATATCAGAAATAAGTTTAAGGGAAATACAGAGCATGCCTCTTTTACAAATGAAGGAAGGACTTCATAACGAGGGACCACCCCAAGAAACAATGAGATCAGACAGCAGGACAATTTTTTTCATGAGGCGTCATATCTGGCTGAAGTTTTTCTGGGACAACCACTTTTCTTCTTGTCAAACTACGATCCACAATTTTAATAAATCACAATTTTTGGTGCTTTTCGGTAGTTCCCACCCCCCTTATTTGAGCCTGACCTACTTCTAGATCTAGATCTATACGTTTGTTTCGCGGTGAGCTAAGATATCAAACCTAACAACAGCAAAACATTAAATTACGTGGTAAACCCCCCTTCCTATTTTTGTTAGGTCAGGGGGGCAAGCCTGAAACCCCCCTACTCTTGGGGCCAAAACCCGTGAATAACAATTGCGGGGTGGGAACTACCGAAAAAGCGCCCAATTTTTTTACAAACTAGAAAATCTGGCGATTTTGTAGTTTCGTTCGTTAAAGTCAAGCAGTGTGTGGTTGGCGGGTGCTCTGGTGTGGTTTGCTCCTTCTTTCCTCTAAACAGCTGTCGTCCTTATCTCTCCTCCTTCTTTTTTACG